ATTGCATGGAGTTAAATGTTCAAGTATAATAGAGTAAAAGTGTGAAATTCTCCACAGGCTTGTAGAGCAAAGAAGGGAGTATTAGTGGAATTCTAAGTGGCGTGTGTAGGTGTGGACATGTAGAACCACATAGAAATAGTGTCTCTTTTAATCATTTACTTTTTCAATATTTATCAATATTTACTTTTGTTTAACACTACAAAATATCAATTGTTTGATGAAGAATAATCTACTTATGTTCAAATATAGTGAAGTTCAATTTTGGACAAGCTCAAACTTGGAGTCAACCTCATAATATTCAAGTCCAACTTTAAGTTGTAGGATTATAGCATTTGAAGATTTTCTAAATCATCAGTCGAAAGAGGATCATAATCCTATGCATCTTCACTGGGACAGATTTCTTACACAAGGGAATCCAAATGATATAGCATAGGTGGCCTGATATAAGATTTAAATGCTAAACTTCAAGTAATATTGGTGTTGGTGCTAGTTTATCAAGCGAGAATGAATCAAAATTATCTTCAATTTTCATCATATGGTAAGTAGATTTTAATATGCTTAAGTTAGTATCTTGACTTTGTAAAAGGGAACGATCAACAAATTATTGGCATAATTATCATAAAAGAGATTATAATGTTTTATAGAATTCCTATTCTATGAATATTTATAGGCTTAAGAAAACCCCTAGAATGATAACTACTAGCATTCCAACTGTACAATGTAAGTTATAACAAAGAATGCAAATTCAATGCCATACCACCCTACATAGTTTGCATTTTAGACAAGATTGATCAAATTTTTCATTGAAGCATGTAAGGGGATAGAAAAAATGTTAATGTATTTCAGTATAAACTCCTAAGCATAGTTCTATGTAATGCACTGAATATGTCTAATAACCAAAATTATAATCGAACATATGAGTAGGCATGTAAGAAACCAAAATTGCATAACACAATCAAAACTTAACTACGGTTGAGGCTAGCGGAGAAATCTAAACTATAGGAATGCAACAAAACGAAATGCAAAAGCCAGAAAGAAGAGAATTTATTTGTTATATGATAGATCAAAGAAACCAAAAAAAAAAGGTTGACAGATTGAGGCGAATGTGTGCCACAATTCCTTTGAATTAAACAGATGTGGCAGTTTGCATAAAATTAATAGGTTTGGCTAACAAAAGTGATTTGGGCTGAAATTTAGTGCTTGTGTGGCTGTGTGTGTGTGGGTGTGTGTGTTTGTATTGCATAGTTCAATTCAAATTATGAGCTGTTTAAGGCTAGATAAGGATTTAACAAAATAGGATAAGGTTGGCTGAAACACTTGAAAGTTTAGTGAGTATTTCTACAAAGAAATTAGGAGATCATTTTTGCAGATGGTTGTTTAATAGATGAACATATTTAGGACTTTGATTGCAAATTTTAATGATGATGATAAGAGAATGGCCAGCTTTTAAAAAAATTGGCAATCAGTAACCTAGTAGATAATGGCAAATTTAATGCCGAATTGAATTATTAAAACAATAGAAATGTTTATAGTTAAATTAAGAGATATTGACCACTTGAAAGCTTTTATTTGTTTTCTTGTTCTCTTTTTTGCTCTTCACTAATTAGTGTTCAGCTCTAATTTGAACTCACTATTTTATCGATTAAGTATCGGACCTAATAACAAACAATGTCACAAGTACATAATGGGTGGTCATTGCTTTCCTCTTCCCATTAGGTCACCACACAACCACCAACAACTCAAAATTTCACACCTAACTTCTAACTTTAATTCTTCACAAATAATCAACCATCCTCCAAAATTATAGCCTAAAATTTCTCCACCAATATATCCAAATAACATTTAAAAATTTGAAACAAGCTAATCTTATGATATTAGAGCCTTATGTAAACATATCCTAAGCAATACCAAACCATCAAAAACCAACCAACAACATTATCCAAACTAAGCCGCCTAATATGTTCTTAATTAAACTAAGCCACAAGTAGGGGTGTAAACGAGCCGAAAACGAGCGACCTCAGGTTCAGCTCGTGTTCGGCTCGGTTCCAATATATCCAAATAACATTTAAAAATTTGAAACAAGCTAATCTTATCATATTAGAGCCTTATCTAAACATATCCTAAGCAATACCAAACCATCAAAAACCAACCAACTACATTAGCCAAACTAAGCCTCCTAATATGTTCTTAATTAAACTGAGCCAAAAGGCCCACAACTAATTCACCATAAACCACATAATATTTTTCTTCAAGCAACATACAATTGAATAATGATATTGTCTTCCCTATTGCATTCTGTACTTTTCTTAGTAAACTTGAGTGTAGATCTATTCCATTAAGCGCAACAATGGCCAAGATATGTTATTCTTTATGCAATAAGTATTTTACTCCGACTAGAAAATTGAGATTAAAATTTTTATTGGATGACAAATCAAATTCTATAGAGGATTATGATTGAAAGACTAAACAAACAGACCTTACTCCCATTACCTACCTTAACTGATTTTATAACAATATAATGAGAAAATTCGTCAAAAAGATAAATCTATTAAAAAGCTAATTACCATATGATATGTATTAAACTTGGTTGAATTTATTGTTAACCTGGTACTTAAATAAGCTAAGTTAGAAAATAAATTCAAATTCTATAGACAAAATAGATAGCTCACTAATATCATTACATTTAATTACATCACATGATAGTCACATCGTTTAAAAAAACAAATAAGCATGTCATAACTCATTGTAAATAAATAGAAATTTACATTTCATCATAATGATGGGTATTATTCAAAGTGTTAGAAATAATAAAATACAAGGATATGCAATCTTAGTGCAAGGTTTAATGATTCTGGTATACAATTAAGCATTTTGATATGCCATTGAATATTAATATTACAACTAATATTGCAGAATGGTAGCGGGGTTATCACTACAAGTGCTCGTCAAAATCATACTAATATTTAATAGAATAAGAGCACATGAAATAATCATATCCATTTTATGATATTTATGCTAATAGTTTTGCTAATCAACTAACTATATATTATCATAAAACTCAGCGCAATCAATCCAATTTATACATTTTTTACGCATCAGCACCAACGACGGTATTATCTAAGGTAAATGCTTCAGCAAATAGGTTCCAAAACATGTTGCTTCTGCTAGATATCTCGGATATCCATGTGAATAAAACTGAATTTTTTAGTACATATAGGATTATGATCCCCCTTTTAATGAGATTTAAAAGATGCTTCTCATATACAGCATGATCCTATGCATGATCCTCCACTCAAATATGAATGAATGTTCAAAATTATAAGATGGCTTCCAAACTCGATCCTAAGAATTAAATCATAAACCTGACCCCAAATCTAAATCTAAATAGAAGTATCTTACATCAAATGAAGCTACTTATTTACTTGAGCCCTTCAAATTCTTAACTTCAGATATCACCTGTACAGTTCTATGTTACTAGATCTATAAAATTCTTAAAAGAAAACTATTTGGACTTTGTTTAATTAGAACAACATCTTCATGTTCTCTTTGCTTAAATAACTCAGTGAAACCCTAAGTCCAACAAAGTTCCTTACACCAGAGGTAAATGAAGTCAATCATGTATTTATTACAACGTTAGCTTTTATTATATCTATCGAATTAATTCATTTTCTGGAGTGATTTTTTTTCATAAAATAGTTTGATGAGAATGTTGGAAAGTACTTTGGAACTTATAAGGTCCTTGTTCCAAAGTTAAGTAATTTTCTTCCACCCAACGTTCTTTATTGTTAGCATCATAAGAGAATCAACCCTAATGTCCTCATAACGTTCACAACCTTAGGAAAAATCTGAAATTGAATATGATTAAATATTGAAAATGGATGCTTATTAGCACACACAAGGATGAGCAGGAAAACCATTAGTGACAATATTAATTGTTGTCTTCCCCATCAGTATAATCCATTTAGAATAGATAGTTGCACTAACTGTTAGTGCGCCGTTTGTCATAAAAGCTTGTCAAGTGTTTAGTTCCCCACGATTACAACCCATTGAGGAGAAAGTTGGAAGGAAGGATGGCATGTGGATTTTGGTGGTTAGAAATCTTGAGGGAAGATAGAACTCCTAAGGGAGAAGGATGAATAATTAACCGCCTCCAAATCTACAATCAACCATAGTTGGTTATTGAATCATAAGCAATTGCGGCATTTGTGGATGAACAGATAGAACAGTGTCCGTAAATTCTTGTATATGATTTCTTCTATTCTGACTTAGCTCAGGCACTTGAGTAGTGAGTTGCACCAAAAGGTCCTAAGCTAATATTCTGACAGATGATAAGCTAATATTCTGACAGATGAAAACCGAGACAACATACAAATCACACAATTCTTTTGTATTTACATATATAATACATAAAGTTTCATATTTACGTGATAGCACTCCTATATTTAATAATAGAGCTAAAATACCACTATAGCTAACTTTTTAAGAGTGAAATACATCTTTTAATGCATAGGTTTTTGATACCTAAGTGATATAAATCTAAATAAAAAAGTTTAGACCTTTGATATGTAAATACAAAAAATTGTGGTTAGTAGGTAAATTTCCCAACAGTAATATTTTTTTCAGGAAGAAAATTTGGATAAAAGTAAAATATACAAATAATCAGACTATCAGATTTTGTTGTTTTAGTATGAATTAAAGACGACCTTACATTCCATTATCAATATTCAAGATTATTCAACTGGAAACCAATAAAGAAACACTTTTATCTACCTTTCCTAGTTCTCCCTCAAGACGGATAAGAAATTAAGCAGCAGCCTAGAAATTAGCCATATAGTGGGTTAGAAAGCGAGAAATTGAAATAACGTTACAGTTGAAACGATGATCAAAAGAAATGCCCCTGAGTATAACTGATCTATTCAATATCATAAGCCCTAAACCGAAAAATACTAAAAATTAAAAAATATTTATTAAGAAAAAGTGTAGAGTCCGAGGAATCTTACGATCTCGACCGCCTCGCACACCGCCTCTAGAAGGATGATACATCTTTCGCCCTCTGGAACTTAATCTGGCTCACTTCTCTTTCGACCTTATCAAT